AGCTCAAAAAAAGTCATTGTGCCTATGCAAAGAAAAATACATTACGAGGGGAGTTTAACAGACGTATTCTCCCAAAAGGCTTCAGTGTGACTATTAGGACTTTTATCACTTTGAATCCGGGCAGACATACAACTCAGAGAGGGAAAACAGAATCAAATGCACCTTTCACCTCTGCAGGGAAAAACTTTAATTATGATTTGATGGCGGCTAATTGCAAAGGTGGTTCAGCGAACACAGAAAGCTACACGAGTTTTCTTTAAAGCCCACTGAAATTAGTAGGAATCATTATGCTGATCTCAACGGCCTTTTACATGATGAACTGGAGGGGGCGAAGGTTTCCTGTTCCCCTGACCTCTAGCACACCCGCACCAGCGGACTCGCTGTTAATGAAATCCTCAAAGCCCTTTGGAACATGCACTTCCTTCGGAGTGGGAGACCTTGGTGGGATTTAAATAGCTGCTGGTATTAATAGCAATAGCTGGTAGATAATGTGGAGACTTGTGAGCTCTAGGGAGAAATACAGGTTTGTGAACAACTCAGGCACTGTCTCGTGTTTGTCTTTGTAAACCCTGCTTCCTGTTACTTAGTCTGTGCTTCCTTTTAAGGGCGAGTTGATATACCAAAAAAACCTGATTATCTGGGTAAAAGGAGGCCTATTTTGGTACAAAGTGTGGCTTGGGGATGGGAAGTTGCAATTGTAGCTCTGAGATTCAAACATGCTCTTCTAACACTCAGGTGGCAATGAGGCGCTAAGGAAGCACTGTTACCTGGGTAAGCGCAATTAGCTCTGAGCCTTGGCAGCCTGCAGTCCCTTCCGCTTGGCCCTCTCCACGCGGGAGCGTGATCATGCCCTTTTAGACTTCTCTGAAAAGACCAATGGGGGAAAGGGTGGGAATCCAGCAAGGCTTCAAAGGGCAGCCTCTCTTTTAACCCACCGACCAGAACAATAAAGATATCTTTAAGGGTGCTATTTATGAATGGATGGACATTCTTGCTAAAACATCTGCACTTCTACTTTGATACATTGGAAAAGGATCACAGGAGTCCTCTTGATTTTTTTCCTGCAGAAATAGAAGCAGATAGGAGAGATAGGCCTCGAGCAATGAGAGATGACTGAAAAAGATTGCACAAGGTAAAACTGGTGACCCATTTAGTTGAACAACCTTCCTCTGGTTGTTTTTCATGGTATTCTTCATAGGGAGTTACAAACAAACCCCTGCACAGGAAGGAGGAGAGCTTAAAATGAAAGGAGGAGATGATGGAGGTTGAAGATTAGTGCATAAGTGCATTAGAAGTTAGAGAAGGACGAGAATTTGAAATTGAGACAGAAAAGCCCAAGAGTAAGGGAAGAAGGAAGGGAAACAAACAAGGGAAACACAGATGGCAAATTCATAGAAGAAAAGAAAAATTAGTAGATTTTCAAGAACATAGGATAAATTTTAGTTGCGGTAAACCAGTGTAAGCTTGTTCAAGGCAAAGGGATATGTTGGCTTACATCAGTTGCAAGTTTAGTCTATTACATTTGAGTGGACCTGAAATATTGAAAGCAATTTCAGCCTTCCTAACTTTCAGTACTTCTTTACTTATAATTACTATCTGAAGTTAAGAGGTGTTGAAATACTGGAAAATAATGTCACAAGAGTCAAAAAATACTGAACCATAAAATACTGAAAGTATTATGGATTAATTTGATGCAATTTTCAGGCTCTGAATTTGCCAACTTCGCATACTACGGTAATAGCATGGAATTAGCAAACATTAGTGCAGCAGATTTTACAAAAGAAATAATTTTTAAAAAAAAAGAAAAATCTTTTTGCCATCCATTAGGCATGGTAATATAATACTAGCAAGAACACTGCGCTGCACTGTTATCTGGTTTGCTGTCTGATTTGCTCCGCAGATTACCACTTAAATCAATAGCTCTCACATTGATTTTTCCAGCATGCTGTATTCCAGTAAAGAGAACAATGCGCTGAGATGAGTCAGCTGTTTGCTCTGTCTGTAGGGATTCTGATGCATTTTCATTTAGGAAAATAAAAGCAGGAGCCAAAGCACCACAAATATATACAAGCAGGAATATGCCTGGCTGCTGCACCATAACACGACACTGTCTCTGCAGACACATCAGCTTGTGACAACTATGTGCAGCAACCTACAGATCCTGCTCGAGACCATATAACCATTGCAAGGATGGAACCCAAAATCTGGGAGCAAAGTGAGACAAGCAAGCATCCTGTCTTTCAATTTAGGTGACTGCTGAGGCAGAAGGCAAAAATACACCCACATTTTACTAAGAAGGTGATCTTTACATAGTTACACCAACATGTTGAAGTTCAGCACTCCTGCATTTTAATTTACTTCATATATTTCCATGTAATATGTAAATACATATTTCCTGTAACATGCATTAAAATCCTGATGCTGTATTACCAGGTGATCAACACTGTTGTCTGATTTAGCTTGCACTCCCTTAAACCAAGACAACAATCTCTTGTTTTGTTTGCAATGACAAAATTCAGCTTAATTCACTCTTGCTTTCCCTCTCTCTTGCTTAACCTAAATGCCTGTTGAGTTCATGAAAGCGGCAATCTTTTTCTCTCATACAATTTGGTAATCATTTCAAGGAACTTGCAGCAAAAACATTTTCAATTGAAAGAACTGCTTTGAGATTTTGAGTCATAAGGCGTGCAGGCACGCACATCCCGCACGGTTTCTCCTGAAGACCTTGCGGTCGCAGCTGGGAAGCAGAGCTGACACTCCATGACAGCCTCTCTTTCCTACAGCGCCCCGTGCTCGCCTGCTGCTCTGGGCTCCCCAGCTCTGCGCTCATGTGTGAGCTTGGGTTATGTCTGGGAACTTGGATTTAACAGCAAATGAAAACTACTAAACTGCCAAAGCAATATAACAAATCAAAACGCTTGTTGCTCTTTTCCACCCGGAGTTCTGTTTCAAGGCTTGGGGACAGGAATTGAGATTTATTATCTCATCTTTGAATGTAAGATGCCGGATATATTCTATCCCATCATCCATTAGTAACAGCCCTAGAGATTATGGAGCAGCCATAGAGGACATGGAAGAGAGGATGTTCAGCATCCAAAATCTCATTCTTTACGGCATATTGAAGACCATTTTCTGGGAACACTGAAGGAGAAGCTGAGCCTGCAATAAATTATCAAATGCAAAGTTCTGGGAATAATTTGTAATTATGAATCCTGTTATTCTGAAAATATTGCTAAATAGTGCTATATTCAACAGCTAGAAAACTTCAATTATTAAAATCATTACAGAACTTTTACATAATTCTGCATTTTACAGCAATGCTTTCATAGCACTGGCTGCTCCTGATTGCTACCTGTTTGCTTCTTATCTAAGCTTTGCTAACTTAATCTTAATCTTGCTCTTAGTCTAAGCAAAATTACTTCCATGTTTTCATAACAGCAAAGAGTGAGGTATGGCAAATTTTCTATTACAGGTTATTTTTAAATAGGTTAGGTAGTATTTTTGACAGTCACAGTAAATTTGGAGCAATCCAGCCGGTTTACAGGAAAGGTTATCAACTTCCAGGCTCCCGCCTGTGTATCTGGGAGTACTACATAGTTTAGGGTGCTAGGGGATATTGGGGGAGGGATATTTTGTGTAAACTTTGTTCTGTTTACAAGACATTTCAGGTTAGTTGCATGCTATCTTTAATCACATACTTTCCTACTAGAAAGTCTGCTCCCTGGGAATTAAGTTGATGTAGAAATGAACTATCCCGGTTACTTCCTCTGACCTCAACAGGATTTTAATGTCAACGCTGAGCTGGCTTTGGCCCTTGAGAGCAAATACACAGTCCTGCTTTCACAGAGCTTTTCACTTACATAGAATTTAGATTATACTTATGTAGCAAAATAACACGTTAGTGAGATCAGTACGTATTACTACTACCCACGCAAAGCTTTTTCCTTTTGCAAATTATTATAATTGACTATAATAAGATTATTTCTAATGTCAAGTAAATCAGCTTTATCCCATTTTGATAAACAGATAGAAAGTCTGTGGAGACACCTAATGTTTTGAAAGATGTTTTAAGTGTTGCTAAAATGAGTAGTAGAGAACTGAAGCTATAGCATGAGAGATGTAGAACTGGTTATTACGGTACCTAACAATAGTGCCGGTGTTTCATGCTACAAATTGCATATTCTACTTTTTTGCCAGGTAACGAATCTTAGTTACCAGAAGGAATGGAAATTGAGGGTATTCACTGTCTACCAGAAGACATCTGACAGGATAGGCTTTGGTTTGCAGTCTGAAAATGATCCCGTACTGACAAGAAGAGCCAATCTGAAGTGCAGGAAAATCAGTACAAATCTTGCCTAGTTGCAAATGTGATCAAACCAAACTCTGTTCAGAGCCTGTTAAGAAACAAGGCCTAAATGCAGCCATCCTGACCACAGCTAATACTCCTGCTGCTTTTAGGTTCACTCTGAAAAGCGCTTAAGCCCTCTGCAGATTTACTGAAATTTCTCATTTCCTCTCGTCTTTGTGAAAAAGGCTTTATGCTTCCTATGATCAGATACTCAGCCCACAATTTTGGCCATCCTCCTCCTTGCAGCTGCTTAGAGAGTGAGGCAGAACACACAGGGGTGGTTTAAATAAGAAACAGACAATTTATGGGGCACGCACTGCTAAAACATTAATCCAGGGAGTTCTCCTCAAAGTCTGACACAGAATTATCTGTTATCTCAAGCTGACAAAAGCATCAAGAATTTGCAAAAAAAGAAGCTTTTTTTTTATACCACTGCTGTAAGATCCCTTCCTGAGGAGGAAAAGTCGCGAGGTGATCAATTTAAAGCAGTGAGCTTCCCATAGAGCGCCTAGCTGTGCTACCTGCGAGTAAGCGCACGCGAGGTCCGCGCTGCCCGATGCTCCCGAGGGAGCAGCCCCGCGGGGATGGCACAGAGAGGCTGGTCGGCCGGGAACGCGCGCCCGCACAGATCGAGGCAGCCCCTGAACGGTACCTTTGATGGCAGGCGGCGTGTACACGCTCTGCTTCCTCTGCTTCGGGGAGGCACTCTGTGACTGTGGGTTTAAAAAAAGACAGAGGGTAAGAGACAGAGGAGGGTTTCTGTTTGTATTTGTAGTAGTTATGGGCCTTGTTACACATCTGCTTTCAGAGCACTAGGACTGCTCACCCCATACGGCTTCGTTTTGCTTTCAGCTCCTGTTAGTCCAACCAGCCAGCAGCAGACTATCGAATAGCAGCAACAGCACTGATGTGTTGTGCATGTCTAGCAGGGATATTTCTCAGAGCAGGCTCCCCTAAAGAGGTATTTCCCTCTTGTTACTTTGAAAAAATACTCTAAGAAGACTTGCTACAATTGCAAATATATGTCTCATATTTGAGACCACCTTGGGTGCTTCACAGAATAAGCAGTATACCCATACGTCCACCGTCGGGGCAGTCCTAACACGCATCTTCACCTCTGCTGCACGCAAGCAGTTTCGACTGGCAGGTTTAGAGTACATTTTAACGCTTTATATTTGCTCTAAGTTCAGAGGGTGCACACACCAATCTGAGAAATTTTTACAAAAATGGCACTATATAAATCAGATGCCCGTTCCTGGACTTCCATCTATACAGGAAAAGCTAAGATTAGAGAGAAAAAAACGTATATTTAATGGACAAGTTTTATAGCTTCCAGGCAAAATAGGCCCAAAACTAATGAAGATTACCCTTCACTCTAAAAAATATTGTAAGCATAAAACTAAGCTAGCCTATGTTTTTAACTCTCTATGTAGCTGATTTTCATAAAGAAAATAAACATTTAGATATGTTAAAAGACTGCTAGTTTTATTTCAATTGATGTTCCAAGTAAATATGGTGGAATGACTTATTCTATGTATAAGGTAACACTGAAATTCTTAATACACAATTTTTTACATAAATAAATTGAAAATCCCTTTCTCTCTTTTTCTAATGTATTTTATTACTCCTAAAACAATAATCTCAGCAACCACTCACTCAGCCTTTCACTGGGCCTGATTTAAATGATCTCTTCAGACAGTTAAATTTCTTATGACCTCAAAATCACATCTGCACAACAAAAGATGAACTAGTCTAAAATAATAGTAGCATAATTGCTTACAGTATAATAGTAGTATAATTAGACAAGTATGCAGTTAGTAAAAAGCTAACTGGAATATATTCCAGTACTAAAGCAGCATAACTTTCCCAAAATGAAAGGAGTTAAATTGGTGTCTACACAAATATGGAATATCTTCATATACAAAGGATAATAAAACTGCATAATATCTCATGCTGAGCTTTTGATGTGGCTAATTTTTAATGTTATAAACATCATATCACATTCACAAGAGAAAGGTACAAAAAGTTGTGCGTCGGCAAGCTTTATTTTTTCCCGTCTAATCAATTTCTAATTGTATCTGGTCACGATGTTACCTTTCCCCAAATATTTGCTAAAAGCACCTTATATTTTCCCCCTGAGCACTTTTGTCTAGTATATTGTCAGTGAATTTTAATTAGATCACTTTCTTCAAGAAACATATGAGATGGCTCTCAAGAAAAACCCTTTCACACAAATGTAATCCTATTGCCTTATCCTATCGTAACGGATGGAACGATAACATTTATGAATAAAAGAGTGTCTTCTTTTGAAAGGGAAAGCTATTTATAAACATTGTGTGATAGGTTGTTGATCCTGACCCCCGTAAATCTTTTCATGTCTGTATTTGAATCCAAATTGGAAGCAATCAATACTGCCTACTGCTATTTAAAGCTATGCCTGCTCCTCCAAGCAATCAGTGAAGGAGAAGGTGGTCAGGGAAATGTAGGGGCTAGGTAGAGAGGGATTAGAAAAAGAGAAGGGAGAAGCTAACTTTTAACTGCTCTGCAAAGAACATCAATCCGCTGTCTGCTGTGTGTTTGGCAAACGAGAGGAAAAGAGAAGAGTCTGCAATGGTTTTGTAGACCAACAGTAAGCTGTAGACCACAGCTTACTTGAATAATGTTGGATGAGGTGACCTCTCAGGGCCACCTTGAGCTTGATTTACTGTGATTTGATATGGCAAAAAAGGAAACTTGCAGTCCAAACTTGAGTTCCAGAGTTCCCTGTAATAGGGACAACGGAGAGCTGGCCAGGATTTTTCAGAAGAGAACCCAGTTTGTGCACAAGTGTGACTTGAAAATGATGGTCCCTGAAAGGCTGTGTTACTGAAGATGGTGTGACAATGTAAATAAAAACATCAACTGGGATGAAAGAGTAAGTTTCAAAGGGTTTTTAACAACAAATGCATTTAAAAAAATATTTCACTTACTTCTCCTTGTGAGATGTTTGTTCTCTTCTCATCTTTTTCTAGAAGGGGAAAAGATATGGATAGAGAAAAGTTAGTACAAACAGTGTTTCTCCCAGTGCTAAGTATTGCAACTCTGCCCTGACCCCTACAGCACTGTTGTAAATAAGAAATGACTCTGCTAGTTTACAGCTTTTCTTTCTCTTTTGTGTTTCTTAGAAAACTTGAGGCCTTCTTCTTCATAGGCGTTTAGGCACCTAACTCCCATTTTGCACTTAATCAATTTGTGCGTAAGATGAAATTATTTTTCTAGCGTTGTCTTAGTGTGATTAATGGTCAGAAAGCGTCAGCCTTCTGATGATGATTTCCCAAATATTTTACAAAGATCATGTAGGATCTTTGAAGCAAAGTAGCTTGGAGCTCTAAAACAAAATGTCACTAAAAATAGTGGCATCAGTCTCTCGTTGTATCAGTACCTTGTCTAAAATTTTCCATTTGCAGATAACCATGCGCAGTTTCCACCCAAGTCTGGCGGATCAGTAAATGTCGAACTGAAGGAAGAACTAGGTCTATGTCATATCCCTTCATCTAAG